CCCCCCCGCGTGCGCTCAGCCCTCACCTGTGAGTCTTCGACACACCGTGCGAGGCCCGCTGCCCCTTGAAGCCCCACCGCCTCATGCCTCCCTGGAAGCCCTTCCCCTTGGAGGTGCCGCACACATCAACCTTCTGCCCCGCCACGAAGTGCTGCGCTCGGAGCTGAAAGCCCACCGGCAGCAACGCCTCGACGCTCACGCGGAACTCCATCAACTGCGTGCGGTGGATTTTGAGCACTTGACGGCTTAGTCAAGAGAGCAAATGGAGCTTTTGGCACACTCGGTGCGCGAGGAGGGGTGATGATGTGATGTTGAAAACTATTCAGGGTGTTGCTGCTGTGTATATATAAGCGATGCGTGTCCTGAACCACACAAAGAGAAAGAGAGAGCTTTGGCAGCGTGTGTTGTCGTTGATGGATAAACTGAAACTGGCGTTGTGTCAGTGGTCTGACAGTAAGCGCCGTCGATACAAAAGGCACGCACACATAGACACAGTGTTATTGCCATCTTTAATCCGAAGAGTAGGGTAGACTTCCTCATGACGTTCGGTCACAGGGTCCCAGACCGTGGCCAATAGAAGCATTTTTGTATTTTCAAACACACTGAGACTGACGTCGTTTCATTGGTCAGCCGGATAGCGCGGTCGATGCTACATGTAACAGAAAAGACAAACACACACACACACACACACACACACACACACACACACACCCGTCACCGGCGCCTCGTCAGGACCCTCACGGGCGGGCAGGCCAAGAACATATGTAGCACCATCTATCACACAGCCTACATCTGGCAGACAGTGCCTTCGACCCTTCGACGGCGGTGGTAACTCCTTCTTTCACGGAATCACGAATCTTTGTTTGGACAAGGGGTGGGTACAACCTGGATTTCCTGCTACTATAATACTGCACAGTACAGTACTACTGCGGCGGCTGCGGATACTGGATTCCCGGACGTGTTCACCTGAAGGAAAGCCAAGAGAACCTGCGAGCAAGACTTGACTCCCTAGTGACTTCCTAGTGGCTTGCTAGGTGCGGACGAGGGCATGTGTGGAGCTATGACAGTGTATGTGTTGCTATTTTGTTTGAGTCATCTAGCTGCTGCACGATGACTGTTGGATCTTGGGAGTGTGCGATTATCAAGTTGGGAGATACAGCATACCACGATATCCTGTCTTCGACTGGGCTTGAATTGACCCTTTTGCTGTCCTCCGCTCTTTGCATCAGTGGCTTCCTAGGTTCGGACGAGGGCATTTGTGGAGCTATGGCAGTGATGCTATTTTGTTTGAGTCATCTAGCTGCTGCACGATGACTGTTGGATCTTGGGAGTGTGCGATTATCAAGTTGGGAGATAGCAGCATACCACGATATCCTGGCTTCGGCTGGGCTTGAAATAACCCTTTGGCTGTCCTCCGCTCTTTGCATCAGTGGCTTCCTAGGTTCGGACGAGGGCATTTGTGGAGCTATGGCAGTGATGCTATTTTGTTTGAGTCATCTAGCTGCTGCACGATGACTGTTGGATCTTGGGAGTGTGCGATTATCAAGTTGGGAGATACAGCATACCACGATATCCTGTCTTCGACTGGGCTTGAATTGACCCTTTTGCTGTCCTCCGCTCTTTGCATCAGTGGCTTCCTAGGTTCGGACGAGGGCATTTGTGGAGCTATGGCAGTGATGCTATTTTGTTTGAGTCATCTAGCTGCTGACACGATGACTGTTGGATCTTGGGAGTGTGCAATTATCAAGTTGAGCATGCTGTTGGATCTTGGGAGTGCACGATTATCAAGTTCGGAGATGCAGCATACCATGATATCCTGTCTTCGGCTGGGCTTGAATTAACCCTTTTGCTGTCGTCCGCTCTTTGCATCAGTGGCTTCCTAGGTTCGAGCGAGGGCATTTGTGTAGCTGAGATGTGTGTCTACGACAAATAATATGATAGAGAGTCGTCTTGGCATTCGCATTTAGCGCATTGCGCATTTTTCGCATTTTGGCCCTCTGGCAGGGACCTTGATACTTACCCGCTGGCACTGACGCCTTTTCATTCGTCAGCCGGTTAGCGCGGTCGATGCTAGTAATAATAAAAAATAAACACACACACACATACACACCATAATCGACTTCGTAAGTCGCGAGGGAAGGGATTGCTGTACCCTTGTCGCGACAAAAATACCTCAGGCAGGAACCGCAGGAGGGGGTCCAGCCCCCCCCTCCTATGTGACCCCGGTTGGGTCGTGTAACTGGTAGAAGTGGAGGATAGGGACCAGAGGGGCAGACGACAGAGTCCAATGATGGGAGAAAAAAACACACACACACACACACACACACACACACAAACACGACCGGGAGAGCCAAAACACCCCATACTCCTGCCCACCTTCCGCTTGGGGTTGACCCCAGCCCGGCGGAATCTTTCCGCGTCTGGCTTGTTCACGTTCTTCGCCTTGCGCTCGCCGACGCCCAGCTGCAAGGACGTGTATCCGTCGGTCTCCGTGGTCTTCACCTTTGATTTGAGAGTCAGACGAATAGAATTAGAGAATACTGTGCGTATGCATGCAATGAAAGAAAGGCTACTCGGTCGAGACAAAACCACAGTCTAAGGGCAGGTGTTCAAGTCATCACACAGTGAACGGAAGAAAACCGGCTGCATACCGGGCATATTTGAGTCTGTTTTGACCCAATACGCTGAAAAATATGCCAATGGTGCCAGCTGGTGCTAATCATAAAACATGTGAACAGGTAGACCCATTTTAACACTACATCCCCTGTAGGTGTCTACTGGGTCAACGACAAAATAATAACGGGAAAGGTGGCCGCTGTGTGACCAGTGGGGGCGGGAAGGTGTCTACGTCTCCTGTACCGATGGATGAAAACGAAACAACGCTGGATATTTTCCGCCCTCGTCGTTCATGTTCTCTGATTTCCATATACTTTTCTCTCTCTACATATAGTCTATATATATCCCTCTCTGTCTGTCTCTCTTCTCTCTGTCTGTCTCTTGCTGACCACGATTGTGACGGTCTCCTCCCCCTTGGTCATCGCTTCGACGCTCATCTCATCCCACTTCCCTCTTCATCCTTCCCCCTGGCCCTCTTGATCACCACATGTGCAAACAATGTACGTATTCGTATCTCACCTGCACAACCTCGCACTCGTCCAACTGCAGGACTGTCACTGGGTGGCGCACCCCCCAAGAATCGAAGATTGCCATCGAACCAACCTTCAACAAACAACAAAAAAGGGAGGACGTGGGGATAGTGGTTACGCACTGCTGTTGAATGCAAACAAGACACCGTACGATGTGTAATCGTGGCGTCATTCTGCCGAACAGCAGAGCGGGGGATGGAGAGGACATTGTTGGCACGCTGCTTGACGACGTTCATCATGAAACCATTACACGCCCTCTCCAGCAAAAATCAAAACCAAGGGCACAACCAGGATATACACAAAACGCCGCTGATGTGAACAAAAAGTCACTACAAGTGCCAAAGCATCCTTTGCCTTCATTGCCGAAGCACCGGACTTCCTCCCGCACCCAAAAGAAACGCCTCTCTTCAACGCCATCTAGAAAACCAGAAAAAAACAACAAAATTTCCAAACAACCAACAAGAGGACGAAAAAAATGAAGACGAGATCCACTCCTTTCTCACGCGCAGCTATTATCGATCAGTAGATGCCTGCCTTAGAGGCGAAAACCCAGAGATACCAGCCGCACCTTCATCGCTAACGCCCCGCTCCTCCGCACCGACGGGTTCCACTCCCGAGCCTCCAGACTGTGCGGACCACCTACTCCTCCAAAAACTTCCCCTGCCCCCCTGCCCCCGCCGCCTTCATCCCAGTCGGAATCGGACGGAGGGTCCGAGGAACCATCCGCAGTGTTGGTGACGGGCCTTGCGGACGACGACAAGGCTTGCCTAGCGCCGGGTGGAAACCCTTGGAGCGCAGCGGAGGCGCCGGCGGCGCCGCCACAACCGCTGAGAATTGAGGCATTTGCTGCTATTGCCGTGGACAGCCCTCTTCGTCCGTTGAGTTGTCTGGACAGGGAGGAAGAAGCAGGGGGTGAGTTTAGAAAAGGAGCTGGTATATGAAAAAGGCATGTTGGCCGTAAATGAGGGGGGGGGGAGGGGGTTCGTCGAGCGTTTGCTTCCTTCATAGGACTCGACTCGGACAGAAATAGCCAACCGGACAACGAGAGAACGGCATGCGGCATGCATCCATCCTCGTTCGATTGTGTCCAGAAAAGCAGGCAGCGGTTGCATAGTCTTCCCACCTGGCATGTTTTGGGACGGTGCTTGCCGCAACGGCCCCAGCCCGATCATTGTCCAAAAAAATCCCGCTCAAAACCCTGCCCCTACGAGTGCGTTCAAGCGCACCATCAGAGACAACACAGGCCGAGTCTTTCTCTCCAGTCTCCTGCATGCACCCCCTCGAGAAACCCCCTTTTGTCGGGAACACCAGCTGTTATTGCTGCAGCAGTAGTAGCCTCGCTTCGTGAGCTGAGACCCAAATCTTAACATTTTCTTTGGTCATCCATGCAGCCCACAAACACACACCTCGAACACCCATGGACCCCCCGCACCCGATACTGCCTGTACCGCACCCACGGCCGGCGTGCTTGAATACATACTATGAAGTAGCGTAAAGAAAGTGTAACTGTACCATGCACACAGCTGTACATAGAGCATAGTGCGTTGAAACCCATGGCTTTGAGGGCCGCTGTGCACCGCGTGAACTTGGGAGAGTTGGGGCATGCGACCGAAGTCCGCACCAGACTGGGTACAAATGTTGCAAGCGCATGTACTGATGCTAGTTATGGGAACATTGTATATTGGTGCAGGCGATACGAAAATTCCGGGGCGCTCGGGTTACTGATGTAAGAAGCAGCAGAGCTGCCTCGATCACGAGGTGTGTGGTCAACCGTGGGTGTGAGACTTAAGGGATGTCGAAGTCCGTACACAAAAGGTTAACATGCACTTGGCAAACTGCTCTTGCCCGTTGCCCCATCCCCGACGTTCTCTGCAACATGAATAACTACGAACAGGAATTGCCTGCCCCTTCGGCAGCATGGGCACGCCAACGGCTACAACAAGATGCGCACGTACTCGAGATTATTTGTGCGCAGCAGCACCAGAGGATTCGTTCTTCTCGCCATAGCGGTGCTTAGCCTGTGAGGTGTGGTGGACATGCCGTATACAGCAACACAGACAGCCAGCCGCAAAACCCAAACCACTTGCTCGCTGACATTTCACGCAGCACAGGTGTGATACTTTGAATCACCGTTTCAAAAGCGCAGCCGATGGCAACATACCTGCTGAGAAAGCACCGCGTGACCCTCAACGTGGAAGACGCCATCGAGCGTCTTGCTTCTCGTCGCCACTACTCCACTGACTCGCACCTGAACCTCTCTGCTCTACGGCTGGGTGGATGAACCCGGCGGCTCCGTCAATCATGCGGCGAATTTTGGGCCCCTGGACAAGTTCGGTCTGCGTCACGCCTTCATTTAATATGTCAAACACATTCAACAGTCAAATATTCAAACACCATCCATTAATTCGCTGTTCGTTGAGATGAGAAGCAAGCGCGTGCGCTGCCCAGAAAACTAACGGCATTGATACCAAAACAAAAGGCGAGAGGGAAGATAACATTTTGGTGCTGGTCATTACATGCGTGCTTGGATAAAAAATGTGGAGAAAAGAAGCGCAACAGTTTTGCAGCGAAGTACCTGTACAGCACTATTGCTGTATAGCAGTGGCTACGCCATTGCCATTGGTAACACGATACCACCCCCACTAACTTCTTATTTTTCCACAGAACAAGGTGTGGCGGTACCGAACATGGCGGTGTTGGATCCGTCTCTTCGAGAAAAGATTTTCGAGCACATATCGCGATTCCGTGTATCGAGCTTTGAAAATCAGTTCATCCAATGGGGTGTGTTATCTTACGTGCGTGACCTGCTGTGCGACAA